CGGATCTCCTCGCCAACATCGATTCTCCCGTTTCTGAGCGTGTGTTAGTGATGCATCTTTTAAATGGTCTCTCTGATAAGTTTGACTCCATCATTAACGTTATCAAACACAAGACTCCTTTTCCCAGCCTTCTTGAAGCTCGTTCTATGTTATAGATGGAGGAAGAACGTCTTGCAAAAATAGTTAAGCCAAGTTCCAACCATCATGATACTCCTTCGTCTTCTACCATCCTCTACACCACTTCTGATGGCACTCTTCGCAACAACAATAACAACAACAACTTTGGTCGTGGAAACAGAGGACGCAATCGTGGTGGTGGCCGTTTCCGTGGCCGAGGCCGATACAACAATGCTTACTCCTCCAACACCTTTACTTCTCCGTGGTATTACAATTATCCGCTCAGGTCTACGCTTCAACTCCAGCACCGAGTTATCCACAGCAGAGTTATCCTCACTTCTTATTCAACCCGTCTCCACCGTATCATGCTCCACCTCATCACACCAATCATTCTGGGATTTTAGGCTCGCACCCGTCTCGTCCTCAAGCACATTTGGCATACTCGTCCGATCCAACTTCGTTAACGCCTCTCCCCGCTTCCCTAACTCATGCTTTCAACACGATGACTCTCCAAGAGCCTGCAAATCCTTGGATTATGGACACCGGTTCGACCGAACACGTTGCCTCTAGCACAGGTAATCTCCACTCTCTTTTTAATACGAGCACCATGCCTCTTGTTACTGTTGGAAATGGTTCTGTTGCTGCCGTTACAACACTTGGTCATGGTACTATTCCCTGTCCGTCTCGTTCTTTTGCTCTTAAAAATGTGCTGGTTTGCCCTGATATTATCAAAAATCTTGTTTCAGTTCGGAAGTTTGTAACCGATAACTCTTGCACAATTGAGTTTGATCCTTTTGGTTTTTGTGTTAAGGACCTTCGAACTCGGACTAGCTTGCTCCGATGTGATAGCTCTGGCCCTCTTTATACCGTTACTTCATCTCCATTGCCTTCTACTCCTCATGTTTTCTCCACTGCTTCTCTCGATGGTTCTATTTGGCATAATCGCCTTGGTCATCCTAGTCACTCTACTTTATCTCATCTTTTATCGTCTTTTTCTATTTCCAGTCCAAAAACTGACTTGACAAGTTTGTGTCAAGCATGTCAACTTGGCAAGCACACTCGTTTACCTTTTTCTGATTCAAAAACAATAGTTACTTCTCCATTTCAAATTGTGCATTCTGACATTTGGACTTCTCCAATTCAAAGCATAAGTGGGATAAAATATTATCTTATTTTCCTTGATCAATATTCTCATTATCTTTGGGTGTATCCTCTTCATCGTAAAAGTGAGACTTTTGGGAAATACTTACATTTTTCTGCTTATGTTCAGAGACAATTTCAATGTCAAATCCAGTCTCTTCAATGCGACAATGGCGGAGAGTATGACAATCGTCTCTTCAAGGATCACTTTGCTGCCACCGGTACGCTTTTTCGGTTCTCTTGCCCACACACTTCTCAACAAAACGGTCGTGCTGAGCGCATGTTACGCACTATCAACAATATGGTTCGTGCTTTGCTGTTTCAAGCATCTATTCCCGCTGAATTTTGGGTTGAAGCCCTTCACACGGCTGCTCATCTACTCAATATTCTTCCATCCAAGTCTATCGACCAAGCGGTTCCGTTCACTCGCTTGTTCAAACAAGCTCCCGATTATCATCATCTCCGCACGTTTGGATGCTTATGTTTTCCGAATCTCTTACCGACGTCAGCTCACAAGCTTGATAAACGTTCAACGCCGTGTGTGTTTTTAGGCTATCCCACCGATCATCGTGGATACCGGTGTCTTGACCTCTCCACTCGACGAATCATACTCTCTCGCCATGTCGTATTTGATGAAAAGACGTTTCCTTTCTCTACTCTTCTTACAACTTCTTCTCCGTCTCCCTCACCTCCTCTTTTGCCTACACCACCTCCTATCTCTCGTCCTCTCTCACCTCAGATTCCCCTTCCTTCTCCTACTCCCACTATCACTAATTCTGCTCCTCAAAATATTCCTTTAATCCATAATGCTTATCCTATGATTACTCGAGGCAAAATCGGTATCGTCAAACCGCGAACTCTATTGTGTCTTCACACTGATGCCACAATTTCTCCTTTACCTTTGACTCATGTTCAGGCAGCTCGGGATCCATTTTGGAATAAGTCTATGCATGAGGAATTTGATGCTCTTATTAAAAAGAGAACGTGGGATCTTGTGCCACGTACAAAGGATACTAACGTTGTGCGTTCTATGTGGTTGTTTAAGCATAAATTTAATGCAGATGGATCGCTTCGTCGTTACAAATCCCGTCTTGTTGCTAATGGCACGTCTCAACAGCTCGGTCTTGACTGTGATGAAACTTTCAGCCCCGTGGTTAAACCCGCAACAATCCGGTCCGTTCTACACGTTGCGTTGGCTCGCGATTGGCCACTTCACCAACTTGATGTAAAGAACGCTTTTCTCTATGGCGACCTTGATGAGACCGTCTACATGCACCAACCGCCAGGTTTTATCGACAAACAAAACCCGGATTATGTTTGTCTCCTCAAGCGGTCTTTATATGGCTTAAAGCAAGCTCCTCGTGCTTGGAATACACGTTTTGCTACATATGCTCGTCGACTTGGTTTCAAACAAAGCATCTCTGATCCCTCTCTCTTTGTGTTTTCCGATGGCTCTGCTCTAGCGTACCTTCTCCTGTACGTTGACGATATTATTCTCACGGCTTCGTCTCCTCTCCTTGTTCAGCGTATTGTCACATTCCTCAGCTCCGAATTTGAAATGTCAGATCAAGGCCCTCTCCATCATTTTTTAGGCATCACCGTCCGTCGCAATGCCTCTGGTCTCTTTCTCCATCAACAAAACTATGCTGCCGATATCCTCAATCGTGCTAACATGACAAACTGCAATCCGTGCTTAACTCCGGTTGACACCAAACAGAAGCTTGCTGCTGCCGACAGCCCTCCGGTCTCTGATCCTACACTATATCGCAGCTTAGCCGGAGCTCTTCAATACCTTACATTCACCCGTCCCGACATCTCCTATGCGGTCCAGCAGATATGTCTCTTTATGCATGACCCGCGTGAGTCTCACTTTAATGCTCTCAAGCGGATCCTTCGTTACGTTAAAGGCACCATCTCTCATGGCATTCACATGGCCCGTTCTTCGTCACTTTCTCTCACGGCATACACAGACGCTGATTGGGCCGGTTGTCCTTCCACTCGCCGCTCTACCTCTGGTTTTTGTGTTTTTCTTGGTGATAACTTGGTGTCTTGGTCTTCTAAACGTCAACATACTGTCTCCCGCTCTAGTGCTGAAGCCGAGTATCGAGGCGTTGCTAATGCTGTTAGCGAGACTACTTGGTTACGCACTCTTCTCCTCGAAATGAAGATCATGTTATCTCGAGCAACGTTGGTGTATTGTGATAATGTCAGCGCAATCTATCTCTCTTCTAATCCCGTTCAACATCAGCGGACTAAACATGTTGAAATTGACATACACTTTGTTCGTGAAAAGGTTGCTCTTGGCCTTGTTCGAGTTCTTCATGTTCCTTCTGCTTACCAATACGCCGACATCTTTTCGAAAGGCCTACCATCACCGTTGTTTCTTGATTTTCGGGACAGTCTCACCATCGGTCCACCGACGTTTCCACTGCGGGGGAGTGTTAGAGAACGTATATAGAATATATGTAAATACTCTTTATTACACTTAGGAAAGGCCAATAGTCCAATTGTATCTTATATATTCTCTCTTGATTGTGTAATACAACAACGGAGTTTACCTTTCTTACACATAGAACTTTGATCCCGTCTTCTATCTACCTGAATCGATAGTTCTATTCCTATTTCTCCCCGAATTAATAGTTCTATTCCTATTTCCCCAACAATATCATAGTTCTCATCTAATTTTCCAAATATCTGGGTTTATACGGTTAAAAGTTGGTTTATTGTTTTGATTAACCAAATAACGAATCAGATTACCGGATTAAACCTTTTTCAACCCAATTAAAAAGGTAAACCAACCCAATTAGAAAACTAAACCTAGAAACCCAAAAATCAAAATCCCCATTTCGATTTCTTCTCTTTCTCTCTTGAAGAACACTAGCTAAAACTAGAAACCCAAAAATCAAAATCTTGTGGCTTATCAGTTCTGTTCTTGTATCCAAAACAAAAAAATCACATAATGTTCCAAAATCCATTGACGAATGTTGTGGCTCCAAAACAAAACAAATCTTGGCTTATCAGTTCTGTCATTTTGTGGATCCAACATTTGCTTATCAGTTCTGTTCTTGTGGATCCAAAACAAATCTTGTATCCAAAACAAAAAATCACATAATGACGAATGTTGGAAATATACTTGTGGATCAGCGATTGGTTTCCTCTTCTCAACGTATTGATTCAGATCAGTCATTGCTGCAAGAGCTGTTGTAGCTTAATCAAACAAGAGACAGCCCAGAAAATGAAAAATTGGAGATTCCATTCCATACACGATTGCATAGAGAACAACAAAGTTTGGGATGTGAAATGAAGAATTGGTAACTCTTGTTCTTTTTTTGTGATCTTGAGCTGGCTTAATTTGATAGAAGATAATGTAGTCAAACTATCCTCAAAATGGGACTTGGCATGGAGCTACAAAATGGGAATTTGGAATCTGGAAATTTTGATTTTTAGGGTTCTAAACTTTCAAATATTGGGAATTTTTGATCTGTTATAAGGTTCAATTGAGTCGGGTCGGGTTAAATACGAAACGGGTTATAAATTGGTTTCAAACCGTGGTTCAATTGGTTTTCTATCGGTTTTGATTCGAAAATCATGTAAACCCACGTAATTGGGTAAATAGAAATAGAAGTATGAATTCGGGGGGAAATAGGAATAAAACTATCGATTCGGATAGATAGCAGACGAGATCAAAGTTCTGTGTAGTTCTGATACGATGCGATAGTTATCGGGGGGAAATAGGTCGTCGATCCGTTTTTAGGTCAATAAGAAACTCCAGTCACTACGAAATCAACCAAATAAAATCGCTAAAACACCTAAATGACTCAAATATAGCAACATCATCCTGAAAAAAGAGTTGTAAGTATTTGTAAAATGTTAATAAAGTAAAACGATATGAATGTCTTTGTAAATGCAAACACACACAATCTCTTGCAGAACATAAAGTCATAAACACACAACACAATGACATGATCTCCTGCAGATCAGAAACACCCACAAACATGTTAAGAGGATAATCTACACAAATCTCTTGCATATCAGAAACACACACAACCCCTAAATATGAACACCTTAAGCAAGCATATCTAGGACTAGAAAAAAAATACCAAAAGTCAATTATGTATTAATTATTTAGATTTCCAAGTAGCTAGATATGTAACTATGATTAAAAAGTAATTTGATTTAGAATTCTACTCATGATTATCAAGTTATCGACCATTGAAAAAATAAGACTAGAAAATATTAATTTCTACTTCCAAGTCTGATGCGATATTATCAATTTATCAAAACCATTACAAAAATGGGTATGGGTCATATGACATGACAACATTCTTCGGACTTCAATTCCTACAAACAAAAGTATTTAATAGTATCTTACCCTTGATTTCAAACATAACTTTGTAAACAATAGTATCATTGAACTATCAAGATATTCAAAGAGTTGTAAAAAAAGTCTATGCACAAACGCTTTAAATACTACATTATCACAAAATAAATAACTATAGTTTGGAAGAATAAAATAGCTTTTGTTACCCTTTCAACTAATCTTTTTTGTGTTCTTTTATCTGTATTCGTAAGATATGCATGCTAATGGAAGTCACACAAGACAATATGCAAAAACACTAATAGGAAGTCCCACCAAATCTCAGCACAATAATGATTGTATTTTATTTTGAGATAAACAAATCTCATCATTACTTAGTTTCTCTGCATAAGTGTGTTTTACCATAGCATATTTGTTGCCGTCAACGCCATAGTTTTCTATCATATCACCAACAAACAATATTTTCAGTTGTAATTACCTTGTCGGTTGCAGTTGCAGTTGTAGGATTGATCAAATTCTTGAGAAGAAGAAATTCACTTGGCTGACCTACATGTTTATCGAGGAGAGAAGGTTGCGTAGAAAGACCACGTTTGAGATAGTCCACAATACTATCAAAGTTTCCATGTTAACTAATTAGTGAAAATATTTGGTATTTTGGAATAAATGAGTGAGTAAACAAGAAAACAAACCATAATGTATATCATATGAATATTTAGGAAAAAAGCATATTCGCATCACCGCTAATGTACAAATTAACAAGACATTCAAAGCTTTATCACCGCTACCAAACGCAAAGAAACAAAGAATTAAAAATATACATGATTTAACTTTCTTAACCAAAAACAACCTATAATTAAAGTACAAACAATTCTAATCGCTATATAAATATATATGCTTTTATATATCAATTACTTAAATATAGTAAACATCAATCCAAGTATCCAAATGGTGACCAACTCATGCACACAATCCTGGAAAATCACCGTGAGTCATACCCAGTTGTAATAATACCAATTCGTGAAATGCTAATAAAACTATTACACGAGATCACCTAAGTTTGACAAAAAAATATTGATATCAAGTATCACCTAAGTTTGACAAAAAAATATATTAATATCAAGTACTTTTAATACCAAAAATTAATTGTATAATAGTTTCGATTTCCAAGTAGATATGTGTTCTTGACTAAAAAGTAATTTGATTTAGAATTGCACTGATATTATAAGTTATTAGCCATCGGAAAACTAGATATGAGTCATATCTATGACTAATAAAATATGAGTTTAATCGAATGTGATAATTTCAAGTTATAACCATTCTAAAAAATGGGTATGAGTCATATGATACACTACATACTTAGAGCCTTTAATTACTACAAACAAAACATATGAATATGTATCATTGACTTCAAACATACTTTATGTTTGAACAGTATGAACTATCAAGATATTCAAAGATTTGTAAAAAAAATCTATGTACAAACGCTTTAAATAGTATTACAAGTCTACAACATTATCTCAAAATAAAATAGCTAAAGTTTTCAAAATAGTATTAGATTCAAACAACAAAAAATTGAAGAAGACCATGGGAAAATGTATTTTCTTACATACTCTGTAAACAATATTATTGAACTATCTATGCTTTAAATACTACCTTATCTCAAAATAAAATAACTATAGCTTTTATAATATTATTAGATTCAAAGAAACAAAAATTTGAACAAGACCAAGAGAAAATGTATTATTCTTTTTCGTCAATTCTTATCTCTTCTAATATGTAATCCATTTTAACATCCTATAAATACACACTTAGATATAACCTTATAGAAACCAAAAGCCATACTAAGAACTCATTATGACTAACAAAAGCTCAACGAAGAAAATGATTCTAATCCTTTCCATCACAATCCTGGTTTTATCTCCTCCAACAAGTTATCTTACTTGTATGGCAGGTAACTAATCTTAGTTAATCGATCCATTAAATCGAAAATTTACCCTTTCATTAATTAACATTTTTGTGTGTGTGTGTGTGTTCTTCTACTTTGTAAGATATTCATGCAACTGGAAGTCCCACCGAACCAGCAGGCAAGAACAACACAAAACAAATCTCATCACAATAGTTATTGTATATTATTTTGTTCTTAAAAACGTTATGTTTGTTCTCTTTCTTGGGCTTTTGCAGATTCTCACGTCACTGGAAGTGATAGAGTAGCATGTCCTGCTTGCCTTTGCTGTGAAGGCCAATCTCCTCCACCGGGAACTTGTTGTCGTTGCTGTTAAGTGTTAATTTAGCTCAAGAGTCTTTAGTTAATCCTCTTAATTACTATTAGAGTTCATTATATCTCTACTTATGTCCTTGTAGTGTTGTGTATTAGTTCTTGTATCCACTAAATAAAAGTGTAGCCAGCCGCTTAGATTCATCCATTGTTAGGGTGGTGCTTTGGCTAGTGATTCGAATATTCCTTGTTTATACAAATACAAGTTTCGTATAGATAAGAGTTCTGTTTAAAAATCGAAACAAAGTAATAAGTATGTTTAACGAAATTATGTAAATAATTTTAAAAAAGGAATAAATTTCATACAAATATAAGTGATTAATTTGTAAAGATACTTGAGAAACTTTTTGTTATCATCTGATTTATGCAATGTTAAGTGATCGTAACGACACGACAACAAAGTTTGTAATTAGAAAACAACTGAGAGAACAAGAAACAGAAACAGAAACAAAAATGGCGGATTCGTTGTTGTTGGAAACTCGAATCACACAGCAAAAGCAATACGAGTCCAAACCATTCCCGGCGGTGATATCACCACCGTCTTCGTCGATTCCGATTCCTGCTCTGTCTCTCCCACTCTTCACTCAGAGTATCAAGAATCAGAAACCTTACCTCGATTCGCTCTTGCACGGGTCCGGAGCAGTGCTGTTCAGAGGTTTTCCGGTGAATTCCGCCGAGGGTTTCAACGACGTCGTTGAGGCTTTTGGTTTCGATGAGTTTCCTTATGTCGGAGGCGCTGCTCCTCGCTCTAGCGTCGTCGGTCGTGTCTTTACGGCTAATGAGTCTCCTCCTGATCAGAAGATTCCTTTTCACCATGAGATGGCTCAGGTATATGTAATTTGTGATCTATCAGATTTTGGGGTTTATGTGATTCTGATTTACATCAAAAGGTTTGAGATTTATGGGATTTGATGGTGTTTTCATAGGTTCCTGAGTTTCCATCAAAGTTGTTCTTTTACTGTGAGGTAGAGCCTAAGTGTGGAGGAGAGACTCCAATTGTGTTGAGTCATGTGGTGTATGAGAGAATGAAAGATAAACATCCAGAGTTTGTTCAGAGATTAGAGGAACATGGTTTGCTCTATGTTAGGGTTTTAGGGGAAGATGATGATCCATCATCACCCATTGGCCGTGGTTGGAAATCCACGTTCTTGACTCAAGACAAGAACCTTGCTGAGCAAAGGTACCATCATCTCAAATCTGAGTCAGTATGATTAGTTCATCATCAGTTGTAGATTCTCAGAGTGTATATGTCTTTAATGGTAAAAACAGGGCAGCTAATTTGGGAATGAAACTGGAATGGACTGAGGATGGAGCCAAGACGGTAATGGGTCCAATCCCGGCTATCAAATACGATGAGTCCAGAAACCGTAAAGTATGGTTCAATAGCATGGTAGCTGCTTATACGGGCTGGGAGGATAAGCGGAACGATCCAACAAAGGCAGTGACTTTTGGGGACGGGAAGCCTTTACCTGCAGATATAGTCCATGACTGCCTGAAGATCCTTGAAGAGGAATGTGTTGCTGTTCCATGGCAGAGAGGAGATGTTTTGCTTATAGATAACTGGGCGGTTCTTCACTCTCGAAGACCGTTTGATCCTCCTCGTCGAGTCCTTGCATCACTCTGCAAATAGAATATGTTGTCTTCCACACTTAAAATCAAAGCTTTAGATTTTGGAATAGAGGCAAGAGTACTGTACATATTGCATACATATATTTGGGGTGTATAATAACCCATTTCTTTATTCGAAACATCTCTTATTTACACTGCATCAGAAAGTATACAACATAAGAAGAAACCTGAGACAAACTCGTCCCTCTTTAATTGTAAATGGAGTTTTGCTTTGAGATCTTGCTGAGGAACTCCACACAGATCTCCTCATTAAGTTTCGACTTAGATGGTTTCAGGCCTGGTTTGAGGTGTTCAGAAAGCCATTTTGCAGATTCTTTCTCCATACGAGTCTAAGTTGTTATTGAAGTCAATGTAGTAAACCCCGAACTAGCTGTGTACTCGTATTGCCATTCAAAGTTGTCCATTAAAGAACACAGGAACGAATGAAAATTTTCCATTTACCTCCTAGCTAGTGTGAACCACCTTAATTTACCATTTACTATGTGCTACTTGTTAGTTTGTGTTTTCAACTTTCAGTGTCTCCTTATGTTGTACTGGAGTTTGTAACACTGTTTATAAGATGTATATAAAACATTGGGATGTGATTAATGGATCCATCTCATTGTTGGAAGTTGATGACTCTAAAAGCAAATTTGAGGTCCATGCTTTTACAACTTTTTTGTGTAGAACCACAAATTTTAAAAGTTTCCTTTCTTTTTTTTAGTGTTGCTTTCTTATTATATAGACTCTGTTTTGTTTTCTTTGTTAAATTACTGATTCTTTTTTATTATTTTTCAATTGGTAGCTCACGGATTGTTCTTCTTCTTCTTCAGAGCAACAAGCTCTGAGATCCCTCATCAATCAATGGCGGTAACAGAGTCCTCTGTTTTTGTACTCTGAAAGCTTCTCCGGAGCTCTCTCATGGTGGCTAGTTTCTTGTATCTATATCTGTATGTTTCTCTTCTTTCATTTGCTTATATAATCACAACGAAAACTTCTCTTAAGATTCCCAAAAATTTCACCTTTTGCAATCGATTTCTCTACATTGTAATTCTTCAACATAGTTTCGTCGGAGAATTTCATTAAAGTTTGAGTTTTTGTTGTTCTCCTAAGTTTTATCTGTATAATTCTTGTTATTTCGGGCGAGATCGAGTCATTATAACCTTTATATTTTGAATTCCACACATGATCAAACCCTAGTTCCTAATTCCTCTGTTTTAGAATATGTAATGAATTATATATGTGTAGGTGTAGGTGTAGCTGTTTGTATGTTCTGGCAATTGATTTGTGGTTCAGTTACAAATTTGTTTGCCATATTGTTGTTGATGTTGATTAATACAATGATCTCAGGTTATAGCAAGGAGCTTGAGATCATGAGTGGTACAGAGTTAGAGGAGCCTGGACAGCTAAAACGTGCTGTGATTGATGCGTCAGCTGGTGCTGTTGCTGGTGCCATTTCACGGATGGTGACCTCTCCCCTTGATGTTATTAAGATTAGATTTCAGGTACGTAAAGATTCTTAGTTCATTGGCTTTTGTGGACTTAGATTTTGCGCATATGCTTTGTGACTACATAAATGAAGCATAGATTATGCAAATATGCTTTGTGACTGTAAAAATTGGAGGAGCATAGATTATGGGAGAGTTTGCTTGCGTAAGTTAAACACGACAAAGGTCTTAGCATGTTAAAGATCTTTGCTTTTGAGAAATTAAGAGCAATAGAAGAGTCAATGAAGTGAAACTACTGTCATTTTCAGGTTCAACTGGAGCCTACAGCTTCATGGGCTCTCACTAAAAATGATTCTCCACTGAAACCGAAGTATAATGGTTTGTTTCGAACAACGAAGGAAATATTTAGAGAGGAAGGTTTTTCAGTAAGTCTTCTAAGCTGAATTCACTAGCTATAGTTCTTCTGAAGGTGTTTAGCTGCTGTGTTTTCTTATGCTGGGTTGGTTGTGACTGCACCCATTCAATAAAATCACACAAATGCTTTTCCTAGCATATATTTTTCAACATCTATAATGTTGACTGTTGAGCTTAATATTACTTAGTTGGACTGCAAAATAGTGTAAATACCTTGATGATAGTGCAGCCTCACACAAGGCTGTATAAGGTTTCAATTGTTGTCTTAGACATATGTATGATGTGTTATGAGCCTCAGCTCTAGCCACAGACCTAGTATAGTATGCCGTAGCTAAACCGTAAGAACAGAGAAAATAGATAGCAAAGCTTCCTTTAACCCAAGCCTCTTTCTAGAGAATTAGGTTAATGCTGGAAGATGATTCTTATTGATGTTTAGAGACCTATTTATAGATCTCTATTACAACCGTCATAAGCTTAACTAAAAGTAAAAATACCAAAACCAAGTTCTAATAAGAAAAGGAAACATAAATAACTTAAGGAACCAGAAGCTTCTTATTCCTTCTTTGTTCTTCTCTGATAAGTGATACCAAATCGTGTATCATTACTCCCCTCCTCGACTAGGAGCTTGTCCTCAAGCTCCAGCTCCGGATACGCTTCTAAGAGCTTGTCTGCATCCTCCCACGTTGATTCATCCTCTGCATCTTTTGTCCATTTGACCAACAACTGTCTAGTACCTCCTCGCATTCTTGATTTTAAAAGTGTGAGTGGTTTTGCTGGCACTAAACGGCCATGCAAAACTGGTGGTAATGTTGGCTCGTCAGTAGGAATAGACCCCTTGTGACCTTTAAGTAGTGAAACATGAAACACATCATGGATCTTGGACCCTATGGGAAGACGTAAACGATAAGAAACTGCGCCCACTCGTCCTATTATCTCAAATGGTCCGTAAAACTTTGGAGACAACTTGGTGAAGGTCTTCTTTGCAACTGTCAATTGGCGATACGGCTGAAGTTTGAGCCAGACCCAGTCGCCGATATTGAACTCCACGAATCGATGATGTTTATCATATGCAAGCTTCATTCGTTGTTGAGCCTCTAGAAGCCGTTCTCGAGCTGTGACCAGAAACGCATCCCGCTGCTCCAATGCCACATCCAACGCGTCCACCTTTGTGCTACCACCCGTATAATTCAACAGCCGAGGCGGTTCCCGTCCATAAACCACTTGAAATGGTGTCGCTTTGAGGCCTGAATGAAAAGATGTGTTGTAACAATACTCCACCCATGGTAGCCAACTGAGCCATTGTCGTGGATTATCCCCCGTTAAGCAACGTAGATACATTTCCAACGTTCGATTAACGATCTCTGTTTGACCATCCGACTGAGGCCGATATGCTGTTGTGAAACACAAGTCTGTCCCCACCAATCTGAATAACTCACGCCAAAACAAGCTGCGAAAGATCTTGTCACGGTCCGTGACTATGGTTTCAGGAATACCATGCAAACGAACGATATCACGGAAGAATGCTTGTGCTACCGTACTAGCGGTGTAAGGATGACTTAAAGCGATAAAGTGAGCGTACTTCGAAAAACGATCCACCACCACCAGAATTACGGACTTACCCGTGACTTTGGGTAATGCCTCGACAAAGTCCATTGAAATGTCAGACCAAATTTGAGTTGGAATGGAAAGTGGTTGGAGTAACCCACCTGGCTGTAATGTTTCCCACTTGTTCTTTTGGCAAACTTGACACTCTTTAACAAACTCTTGAACTGACCTCTTCCACCCTTTCCAATAAAAATCTCGTCGAATACGTTCCATTGTTTTTTGTACCCCTTCATGCCCAAAATTGTGAAATGCTGAAATCACCTCTCGTATTAACTTTGATTCAGCGTCTATATAAGCACGATCTTTGTAAAAAATCAGCCCATTTCTAGCTTCCCACTCCTTAGACATCTCCCCACGAAGTATTTTATCCCTTAATTCAGCGAGGTTGAGTTGATTCTCCACTTCAACTCTTAACCTTGCTAAAATACCAGTATCAAATCCTTGCAACGCATTCACAGCACAGTCCTGCTCCTTCACTTCCTCATCTCGGCGAGACAAAGCGTCTGCCACCCTATTCAACTTACCTGGCCGAAATTCAACGCTAAAATTAAATCCCAACAACTTGCTTATCCAATGTATTTGTGGTGACGTTGAAAGTCGTTGCTCCAAGATAAACTTTAAACTATAATGATCTGTCCGGATGATGAACTGACGTCCCCACAAATAAGGCCTCCAATGTAACACTGCTTTTGCTAAACCAATAAGCTCCCTTTCATATGCTGCAAGCTTATGATGTCGGTCCGCAAGTTTTCTGCTAAAAAATGCTACAGGGTGTTTGTTCTGGTGAAGAACCGCACCAATACCAGTGCCTGAAGCATCACATTCGACAATAAATTCTTGAGAAAAATCGGGTAATGCCAAAACTGAAGCTTCCGACAATGCTTTCTTCAAAGTTACAAATGCTACTTCTGCCTCCCCACTCCATAAAAACCCTGCTTTCTTTAAAACACTTGTCAAGGGTGCTGCAATGATCCCATAATCTCTTATGAACTTTCGATAATACCCGGACAAGCCCAAAAATCCCCGAACAGCACGTGCAGACACCGGTTGTGGCCAATCTCGTATAGCTATTATCTTAGACTCATCGACACGTACCCCAGCATGGGAAATAACATGTCCAAGATATCCCACCTCTTCCTTCCCGAAACTACACTTGGAATGTTTTAAAAACAGCCCATGAGCTCGTAAAAGCTCAAAAACAGCTCTCATGTGAACCAAATGTTCGTCCCAAGTAGAGCTGTAAACCAGAATATCGTCAAAAAATACAAGAACAAACTTCCGAAGTATGCCTTGGAACACAGAGTTCATGAGACTTTGAAATGTTGAAGGTGCGTTGGCGAGCCCAAATGGCATAACCAAAAACTCGTAATGACCGTGGTGAGTGCGAAACGCTGTCTTCTCGATGTCTCCCTCAAACATGCGCACTTGATGATATCCTGACGTAAGATCCAGCTTTGTAAAATAACGAGCACCATGCAACTCATCCAAAAGCTCATCGACAACCGGAATTGGGAACTTGTCTTTAACTGTAACCTTATTAAGCTCCCTGAAATCAATGCAAAATCGCCATGTATTATCTGATTTTTTTACTAACAACACCGGAGAAGAAAATGGTGACGAGCTTGGTCGAATAACTCCATTGCGAAGCATTTCAGCACATTGTTTTTCAATCTTATCTTTCAGCAAATGTGGGTAACGGTAAGGGCGCACCGCCACTGGGTCTACTCCGCCTAATAAACGAATCTTGTGGTCAAATGATCGTTGAGGAGGTAAGCCCGTAGGTTTAGCAAACAATTCACTGAATTTGGCCACTAGCCCATCAAGACACATTGGTGTAGCGGTCGTAGTTAACACGTTCAACACTATCTCTGTAGCCGCCTTTTGAAAAGCAGTTTCAGTCTCCGTCTCTCCAATGGTTGTAAAAATCTCTTCCTCATCTTCGATCCATCTCTCCAAAGTGTTGTTGTTACCAATTGTGTTAAGGGCAGCCCCTTTATCCTCCCTAACATCTGCTTCTCCATGCCATTTAATAAGAGTATCCCCGCGGACAAACTCGATAGTCCTTGCCGGACCGTCCCAAATAACTCGGCCAAGGGCATTTAACCACCGTATTCCAAGAACCACGTTGAACCCACTTAATGGAATAGCAAAGCAATCTGTTTCAAATTGATGTCCTTGGACTTCCATTACAAGTCCCTTACATAAGCCATCCACTGGGCACTTTCCACCGTCAGCCAATGCAACAACTCGTCCGGGCTTTCGAATCATTGGAATTCCTAATTTTGCAGCCACACTGCTCTTAATAAAGTTGTGAGTGCTACCGGTATCCAATAAAATCCAACCCGTTTCACCTGCAATAGCCGCATTCACTTGAAACGTACTCTCAGTTTGCTCCCCTTTCATGGCATTTAGTGAAAGTTCCAAATCTCCCTCTTCAAAAGGCTCATCTTCTTGATCCTCCCCATCCTGTACTAGCTCAATATGGAATAAAACCGGTTGACACTTATGTCCTGGTGCATAAGATTCATCACAATTGAAACAAAGCCCTTTTGCCTTTCTCTCTGCCATTTCAGCAAGTGTAAGCTTCTTCCTAACCTGTTTAGGTGGATTTGTCTTATGTAAAGGATACTCTCGTCCTTTTTCGAGTTGCTGCTCTTGACTTCCTATAAGGCCTGGTTTTGACAACAGAGGGCTGTATCTCAGTGTGGGAGCTGAGTGGCCTCCAAACGTACGGACACGTCTATCCCCTGCGATCTTATATTCATTATCCCTCGCATATTCCATGGCTTCAAAAATTGTTTCTGGTCGTAAATACTCCACCTCCTTGCGTAGATTATCCGTCAAACCCGCACAAAACTGCCACAATTGTTGAGCTCCTGATAACCTCGTCTGTCTCCCCAAGCATTCTTCAAACTGGTTGCAATATTCATCAACTGTTCCCGTATGCCGTAAGTTACATAACTCACCTACCGGGTTTACCGCATCAGCCTTCCCAAACCTGCTTTTACAAATCTTTTTAAACTCAATCCAACTGAGCTTGTGGGTAACCAACCTGCGTAAGTTAGTGTTCCAGTGATATGCTTGTCCTGTGAGCACAAACGTGGCCTGCCGGACCCGAGCATCATCATGATAAATTCTTTGGTCCTCAAAATAATCTTCACATCGTTGTAACCATTCAACTGCGTTAGTAGTCCCATCGTATGATGGAAACTCGACCCTTGCAGGTGGTAAAGCAAAACCACCATTATGTTCTTCTCTGCACTCATCCTCCCTGTCTCCTATCTCTGATTGCACACGACAATCTCCTGACAAGAAGTTAGAGTAAGTTACATCACCAATTGGTCTCACTGGCCAATCCCCGCCCCCATCTGTTCGCCGATGGCCAATCCCTGGCTCTGATACCAAGATGTTATGAGCCTCAGCTCTAGCCACAGACCTAGTATAGTATGCCGTAGCTAAACCGTAAGAACAGAGAAAATAGATAGCAAAGCTTCCTTTAACCCAAGCCTCTTTCTAGAGAATTAGGTTAATGCTGGAAGATGATTCTTATTGATGTTTAGAGACCTATTTATAGATCTCTATTACAACCGTCATAAGCTTAACTAAAAGTAAAAATACCAAAACCAAGTTCTAATAAGAAAAGGAAACATAAATAACTTAAGGAACCAGAAGCTTCTTATTCCTTCTTTGTTCTTCTCTGATAAGTGATACCAAATCGTGTATCATGATGTTGGAAAACCTCCAGGATATGAGACAAAATATTAAACTGCATATCTTGTGCATTCATAGCCTTTCTTTATAAATTTTTTGTTGACATTGATAACTCATGAATGACCCATTCTAGACCTCTTCAGGAATTGTTTTCATCATATTTATGGCTTACAGACAGTCTGGATTTGAATTCAAGTTGCTTCTGGCAGGGTTTTTGGCGGGGAAATGTCCCAGCTTTACTTATGGTTGTGCCATATACTTCCATACAATTTGCAGTTTTACATAAGGTGAAGTCTTTTGCCGCTGGTTCATCAAAGGCTGGTACATCACTAACTTTTAATGGATCTGTTAGTGAATCTTTATTTGTATGTAATCCCGTGCAAATAATGACTTGAAGTATATCTATGATGTGGTTCTTATAGTTTAACTTTTGTTGAGGTTCATGTGAATTAACTCCTTTGAAGGAGCTGTTTTGGGCAAGATGACTTGGATTTATGTATCCATCTGCATGTTACAATCCCCTTAAAAGAAAGACCCATTTCACAATGTTTCAGAAAAATTAAAGGGAGAGCTATTTGGAATTCTAATTTCTGGTGTTCTGCAGAAAATCATGCTCAACTGAGCCCTTATCTTTCTTACATCAGTGGAGCACTAGCAGGGTGTGCAGCGACAGTCGGATCATATCCATTTGACCTATTGCGGACTGTATTGGCTTCACAGGGTGAGCCAAAGGTATTATATTTCTTCTGTAAAAGAATGTGATGACATAAATGTGGGTTCTCTATAGAGTTGGTTTCGGGGGTTCATTGATTAGTACACCTCTGGTGCTGGTAAGGTCGAATTTTTATACCTTCAAAGTCAACAATATACTTACAGAAAGAAAGGAAATTGAAATGTTTTGGAGAATGAGCTGACATAAAGACTAGTCATTTTCTAGGAACCTATCTCTGGAGCTCTCTGATTTTCATGAAAAAGTTACGATTTGACTCATGTATCGTACTTGAGTTAGTATCAATTCTTGAAGATGGTTAAATCAAATTTCTTTTGAATAGGTATATCCAACTATGAGATCAGCTTTTCTGAGTATAGTGAAAACTCGTGGAATCAAAGGGTTGTATGCAGGATTGTCCCCAACTTTGATTGAGATCATTCCTTATGCCGGTCTGCAGTTTGGCACTTACGACACATTTAAACGCTGGAGTATGGTAAGCTATAGCTTCAGCAACGTTTTCAGGCTTTGTTTCCTTGTAGTATAGATACACCTTTGCATCCACTACTACTAATTCTATTAACTTCTGTGTTCTAAAAACCAGATTATCTTTAAGCTCTATTGGACTTCTCATCTCATCTTTTAGCTGTATTTTGGACTTCACATCTCAATTCTCACTAATGGTATTCATTTTGCTTTAGGTCTATAATCAGCGGTACAGATCTTCTTCATCAAGCTCAGTTAATCAAAATGATAGCCTTTCGAGCTTTCAGCTCTTCCTCTGCGGTTTAGCTGCTGGTACTGTTTCTAAACTTGTTTGTCATCCACTCGATGTTGTCAAGAAAAGATTCCAGGTTAGTACCTTGCTATGAACTTCTGTTTGTGTTGTAACTCTGTTTTTTTTAATGTGATTAATCATCAAGGTTTTCATTACCAAAAGCCTAAACCCATTATACAAGGCGGAAGATCTTCATCAAGGTTTAATATGGGAATGTTTGTCGCTGCAGGTTGAAGGTCTGCAACGGGACCCTAAATATGGAGCCCGAGTAGAGCTAAATGCTTACAAGAACATGTTTGATGCTTTAGGGCAGATATTAAGATTAGAAGGTTGGCACGGTCTTTATAAAGGCATCGTTCCATCCACCATTAAAGCCGCACCTGCTGGTGCTGTTACATTTGTTGCCTATGAACTTGCATCTGATTGGTTTGAGACAAACTTGTAATAAAAAATATTATTCAACTCTCTTGGTAAATCTTATTATTATTCTTTTTTCGCTTTGAGTAATAAGTAATACAAATTCCCTACTTGTTCGAACAGAGACCAATAATGCAAACTCTTTCATACGAGGAAGTGGCAACGGTAGATATCAGCAGAATCATGGCTTGATTGAAAAAAGCTCTTGTATTCTTAGCTGCACAGTTTTACATTATTACTCAGAGTCAGAGAAAAGAAAAAAATCGAAGTCAATGTCATCTCTGGTTCTGTGTTACACATCTGACGCACAAAACTTTCTAAAACCGGCAAGGACAAAAGAAACCAACCAGTTGTGAGAACGAAAACAGCCTTTACTTTATTCATATTGTTGCTTCTGCTTATCAGTAACCTCTTGAGGCAAAGACAGGAACTGAGTAATCTTCTGGACCTGAGAGACATCAACCCGGTACTTTGCAGCTATATCGTTAACACTCATTGGACCATTGTGATCCTGAGCTTTGCCCTGGTAGAGAAGCATGATATGTCGCACTTGTGCTACATTCAATGTTCCTTGAGGCACTGGGTTTTCCTCATACCTTGTTGATTCAGGAGTTGTGTTCCGGAGCTTTGGGAGTGGCCTTTTCGATGTTTCCACTAGTGATGCCTATATAAATCACAAGTCTTAAGATTGTTTATATGGATAGATATATCTTGGAGTTAAACACAGAAAAGACCACAACTCTCAACTAAAACCACTCACAATGACTATTTCAATTTATACTCCCCTTTTGCATTTTCTACATTTCCACATTTCCTCTCTTATTCTCAACTTAATCTACACCACCAAGCATTATCAGCGTTAAGAGAAACAACAAGAAATGTAAAGCAATCTTATTCCTTTTTCTTGTGCCACCAATTTTCGTAACTATTCAATTGGTGCGTCACAATACATTATCCAAAGATTTTTAACTCTGGTTACACGACATATAACAATTATTCGAAAGTTCATATTGCTGTTCAGTCCCATTTAACATCATGTAGTAAAACATATATCCCAAAAATGCTACACAGGGTTGGGAGTCAGCCCATCATTGTTCATATAACCTTTCAGATCCATCCACTTAACACCCCTTAAACTCAATCAGTTACAAGACCTTTACATGAATAATGACAGAAACTCCACAAGATATGACCTAGACAACACAACTAAGTTCTCATACTATTTCTCAACAGCTACATAACTACAAACTCTAAAGCTATTGTGTCGATATACAGGATGGACATTAACTATCAATGCAGGTAATCACACTATCAAATTTCAAGAAGCAAATACTTGTCCTGAAGAGAATCGAACCTATGCGTCAAATATTAAACAGCATACTAAAGGAAGAGGGAAACGCTACTTACATCTCCCATCTCAGCTTTGCCTCCAGGTTTAGCCTTAATTCTCCCAACCATTTGGTTCAACATTGTATCATATTTCGGGTCTCGTTCCTCTAAAACATCATCCTCCTCACTCGTTCTTCGACCTTTATTATCTAAACAAATACATTCCCAAATTCACATTAAAAAACCGGACATTTCTTGTTCATAGCACCAATCTAATGTTCATAGCGAAAATGTGAAAACTTTGGAATACCCAAATGCGATAAAATTTAGGGTTTGTACCAGAAGAAACAACATCAACGGTGGGAGTAGACGGAGATGGTTTGACGGCACTGAGCTCCTCCGTAGGGAGCGATCTCCGATCAACGACGACCCTTGATGTAGAAGATGGTGTTGATCTCTCAACTTCTTTGATTTTACCAACAGCTCGACGCAATTGCTGACCCATTACCACAGTAAGTAACACCCCCACTCGTTTTCTCTTTTTCAGCTTCTCTTATATATAAATCACGACAAGAATCGAATTGTAAGGTAGTTTTGCTGCATCCCGATGATTACAATGGGGGAAGAATTCGAATCAACGGGTAAGCTTCAGCTGTATAGTTGATGTTTTGAAGGAGGGAGAGAAGAAGAAGCTCGAAGAGAAGAGAAGAACGTGTTCGTGCTCAAGGGTTACACGCGCTCGCTTTCAGAGACACATAACGTTTCCTTTTCTTTTACCTCCGACGAGGATCGAACTCGCACACTGAACCTCAAAAGCAATTTTTATTTTTATACTCAAAAAAAGTTTTTAAAATTGAAGTCCCCAATGGGCCTAAATATAGACCCAACTGGTCCAAATTAATTGTCAAACCCACTAAGCATGAGTTATTTTATGTGCATACTTGTTCATCATTGACTCATTGTGCAGAGCAAAAAGACAAAAACAATATGGGACTTTTAAGTTGTTTTATGAATTGCAACTATGGTCCTCATTGAGACAGAAGTATACATTATATCTTTTATTATTACAAATCATGATTCATGAACCGGGAAAACAAACATAATTCGGTTTATAATGTTAACTCACATGACCATACCCAAATGCTCTCTATTCGGTTTTGTCCTCTGATGTTGGAACCGGAACAAGACTTGGAAGATACGCATAACCGGAGATAAAAGGCCAACTAAAACCCCTTTGATGTCGTTCTATCTCAGCTTGTCTTATGATCTCACCAGCTTCTCCAATTAGGTAGACATTGACCGCTACGTTTCTTTCATCTGCCACTGGTTCCTCACAACATAATACGATCCTATTATTCTTATCAATGAAATGCACCGGACCAGCAATATTCTCACAAGCACTAAATACCGGGAGATCAGGTTTAGTCGCACTAAACAACTTGGTCCATGATGATGTGCTCACTCCGTTCTTCTTGACATTGTTTATAACCCAAACCTCGATCTTTGTCGTCTCTTTACTTTGGTGCAACAAAGAAAGATTGCTTCCTCTGAAAGCTACTGATAAATCTACAACATCATCTGCACCATACTCAAAGGGAAGAGCACATAAGGGGTCAAATGACTCTGTACAAAAGTTAAAACATTGGATGAACATGTCGGGTTTGCGATTCCATTTAGCAACCCAATACATGTTTCCATTGAGTGACACACCTTTACAAGTAGAAACCACATGCCAATCCAAAGAAACTTCAAGAACTTTCCAAGAATCCAACTTGAAGTCGTAGATGTAAGCCTCTGGTTTGTAAGACCCTGTGTTTGAGTACTTGTTAATGGTAAACATACCATTCACAAATCTCAAGAATTTATAGCCATCACGAGACGAACCGTCGTATCCAATACCATAGCAATGACAAGTAGGGTAAGTAGAACAGAGAGGCTTGATCCATCTAACTTCTTGCAAACATGGGTTCCATAATGCAACCGAACCTACCTCTAGGATACATAGCATTAACCCATCGCAGTGAATCATAGTATAAATCTCAGAGTGGACTTCAAACTCTTGTGGAAGTGAAAAAGATGAGATAGCTCCAGTTACCGGGTTGAAGATCTTAACCATATGAATATGGTTGCTTCGTATGATATGTCCCTGAAGGAGAGCTAAGTGCTTGTAAACGAATCTCTTGTCTTTGAACAGAGCTAGCCATTGTTTGCACGTTAACTTGAGTCGTAGAAGAGATTTAGTTTGAACCCTGCTGAGTATTTCTTCCAATAATTCTAATGGCAATGAACACTCTTTTGAATCCATGGCCATGGAGTGATACTGCTTCTCTGGATCTTTGTGAATATAAATGATTGGAACCACGCCATCATATTAAGATAGTTTTACAAAATTGTCTGAAATATCCAAATATTTGGAAATAAATATGGGATGGATTGACATATGTCATTTTTTCTAATATTACAAAATTAGAATTAAATAGATAAAGAAATTTTTGTGAGTAAAGTAAAGATTAAAAAAATCTGAGATATGTATATTTTACCTCAAGATTTCTAGTTAGTTTCCTTTAGTTGCCTATAAATATATTTTATACCCTTTAATTAATATTTATATAGGTGAAATCTATTTTTCTTTGTGAAAAAAAGAAAGAAAAGAGGAGAAAATATATAATCATTAATGTGTTAAGATATACTGTATTCTTAAAGGAGAACATTTTTTGAAATTTATAATATATAAAAAGTAGCACAAGATAACGTGGACCAACATTTCAACTTGTCTAGTTGTAGAAAACAATTTAAGTAAGATGAAATATATTTTTGAAATATATATTTTTCCTCGAAAGCTCCAGTCAATTTTCTAATGGTTCGACCATAATACTGTTTTCCTTTAAAAAAATTCCAATCTGCTTTTTGAAAGTTCATATGAGTCAATTAGGAACTTTTAAAAATTTAAGAACAAAAAATATTGTTATATGCAACTTTAAAGTAATTGCAAACTACTATTTCTCATGTAAAGCATCCAAATAAATGAAATTAAAATAAAATGTTACAACAGCCCAAAACACATAAGGTAAAACATATATACTGAACCAGGAAGAAGAAGCCCAACACTAAAACTTGAGTTGAAAAGGAGACTATTGCTTGCAGTACTTCAGTTTAGATATTGTTTCCGTATGGTTTTAATAATGTTATTAATCAGAGTGTTGAAATTTCTCATATAAAGGCATGCTTGTAACTCTACATATCTTTTACTTTGACATGCATGGTTATAGCTGTTGTTTAAAGATTGTGTAGAGTCAAGATTGTGTTTCGAAATGTAGTTTAATTAGTTTCCATGATGTGAACTCGTTTATACACATTTGGTTTGATGTTGCAATGGTCTAATACTCCAATAATGACCATCATATATATTCTGTTCTTTGGATGTTATATAGTTAAGGTTCATCACAAAAGAACAAGCCAAGTATGATTGTTTCATTACGTGTGTTATCGTTCTTTGTATAAATTGGATTCTTGCTTGAGTCAGTACTCAGTACTAATAAGGCTATTGCGTTTTTGTCAATAGACATAATAATGATAGCAAAACAGGCATATTCCTCTTTCTTCGGAAAAGCTTATTTATTTTGTTTTCCCCTCCCACAGATTGCCAAGTTGGTAATAGAAAAAAAAAAGATTCCTCTAAACATTTTCGTCAAAAAAGCTGAAAAAGATTCCTCTAAATTTCAATGCACCTTTTTAATTGTCTCTATAACTAGACATTCTCGTGTGTTGACGTAAAATACAAATAATTTTTTGTTTTGGTTGTTGAGTCAAATGTTATACAATTTTGAAAACCAAAAAGAAAAAGGTAGCTAGGAAAAGAAAAAGAGAGGAAGGCACAATGAGGGAAGGAAGTGCGACGAGAAGATCACTAGATTTGGTCGGCACATTCATCTCTCTCTCTCTCTCTCTCTCAAACTCTCTCATAAAACACACATAGCATTGGCCCCTACCTTAACGTTACCCACTTTCTTCTTTTCAACCCTACAAATTGTTTTATATATCCCTTAAGCTTCACCCTCTCCACATTTTGTGTGTGTGTGTGCTCTTTTCCTTTTTGAAACTTCTTTTTTTTTCTAAATTGTTTTTGTACTTATTCACCATGAGAGTCTCTTTAATTACTCGCACTTTGATCTTGAACCTTCGTGGTCGAGAGAGAGACGTGCAAGTTTCAAGTGCGAGTAATTAAAGAGACTCTCAAAAATTAAGACATCAATCGGTTTTTGCAAGTTGAAATTTTAGTCACAACTAGTTCCACACGTTTTGTTACTTTTCAAGTTCAATACACGTATGTAGTAGCTACTCTACGTAACTTATTCTATATGTGTACTAGATCGACTGATTTATTCTCGTTAAGTGTATATAGTTAGTTTTTTTGGTTAAAATCTATATGCAAGTGATGTGGTGGTCATTTATATATTGGCCTTTTTACCGAGCATGAAGATGGGACACCATGAATAAAGCCAGAGTTGTAAGTTTTAATTGTAAAGAAACTTCAATAGCTAGTGTTTAGCACTTGTCCAAGATCGTGTAATGTTCAAGAAACCCCAAAAACATCAAGAGAATAAACTCTCTAACGTAATTATATGAAAAGAATATTTACGAATACTTACAAAAGTTTAAGTGACACTTTTAAGAACTTATGAATATATGAAAAAACTTTTTATTTTTAGTCTGCTTGTTCAACTTAATAAACAAAATTAATTGAGGAAAGAGGAATATTTTTTTTTTATAGAATCCAAAACTAGGAAATATCTAACAATTCTTATCCTAATTAATCTATATAACATTCAGCCATACTGTATTCAGATTTTTATGTGAAAAAAATATCTAGATTTTTCTAAGTTAATATCTATTTATTCAACAATTAAGTTTTTTGAACACTTTAATAAATGATGATATATATAATGTTTTTAGAGAAACTATAGAACTTGGACATAATTTTGGGTTTGGTCTAATTATAGATACTCAAATATAATATACCACGAGTTCATCAATTGACTATAATTATAATTTGATTTCAACAGTAATTTCTCTGTAGAAAGACAATGGAATTTAAGAGACGACTGTGGATTCGAGTTAAGATCGTCTATACATAAACCTCTTAACACTCTTAAGGCTTTTTCTTGATTAATTTTAGCTAATTGGCACGTTAATCGTTAGGTGAATTTCAACTATAGTTGGTCTACGTTTGCTTTTGGGAAAGACAACAAAAAAAAGAAGCAAAACTTTAGGAAAACTGAATTTTCAAGAAACTTGACTTTTCATTTTTTGGTATTACCGTCAATAAAGTAAAAATTAACGAATCTCTCTTTTGCTGGATTTTCTTAAAACACTGATCCTATGACTCTCGCTCTTACACAATTATTTTATCATTTTAAATGATTTAAGAAGTAAGAAAAACATGCATAAGATATATACTTAATAATTATGCTCATAGCTTTGGTGCTATGCAATGAGAAATGACTTTGCCAAAATCTAAATTCTCATTTTTTCTCCATCATCGTACCCACACACACACACACACACACACACACACACACACACAAACGCATACCTACTACAACTATTACATATTCATTTCGTAGAGAGGCTAAAGTAGGAATAAAATGTCACCTCTAAATATTGCTTCATTCACTTTTCTTTAATTTCCTTAACAAATAACAAAAAAAGATGTTGGTGACCAAAAATATATATTAGTTTAACGGAAATATACAATATGTAGTGCTAATTTATATTAGCCAAATATTTCACCAAGTTCAATAAAATTCACACTAAAAATAAGTAATAATACTAATTTTGTTGGAACATATCCTCATCATTGCTTAGCTCTGCCATTGGTTATGTTAATATCACTGATAAAATAATAGGCATTACACACAACTTAACAACGGTTGATTCTGATATGTAATTTTAAAAATAAGAAAAAATAATTCGAAAGTGCACAAAAATGGATCCCACACTCCACAAAAATTGCAACATTGAAATGATACCCACAACATGCAAACAATAATAAACATCACTGAGAGAGCTCCCAAGTCTTTTAATCTCCTATAAATGTATAGACTCTCACTCTCTCACGACTCACACATAATAGCAAAGAGCCCACTTGTTGTTTTAACTAGAGTCCAAAAGAAAAAAACAAGAACAAGAAACCAAAAATCTGAAAATCTCTTTCTCTGATCAGTCTTGCTTCTTCAATATGGCTCCTCTACCTATTTCTTCGATCAGAGTTGGGAAGATAGATGATGTTCAAGAACTCATAAAATCCAAACCAAACAAAGTCCCTGAGAGGTTCATTAGAGAAGAGTATGAGAGAGGAGTTGTTTTGTCCTCTCTCAAGACTCACCATCTTCATCATCAGATTCCTGTTATTGATCTCTCTAAGCTCTCTAAACCCTACACCGATGATTTTTTCTTTGAGATTCTTAAGCTCTCACAAGCTTGTGAAGACTGGGGATTTTTCCAGGTAATTTCATAATTGTTCATATCCAATATTCAAGTTTTGACAAATCTTTAATATTATTTATATATTGGGTTTTACTAAGGAAAAACATGTTTGGCCATATATATATACAACAACTATGTAAGTTTTGGGACAATGAATCATCTCATCATTGGTATTTTTGACTACAAGATAGGTTATAAATCATGGGATCGAAGTGGAGGTTGTGGAAGATATAGAGAAAGTGGCAACAGAGTTCTTCGATATGCCATTGGAGGAGAAAAAGAAGTATCCAATGGAGCCAGGGACCGTACAAGGTTATGGTCAAGCTTTCATATTCTCCGAAGATCAGAAACTTGATTGGTGCAACATGTTTGCTCTTGGTGTTCATCCTCCACAAATTCGCAACCCCAAACTTTGGCCTTCTAAACCAGCTCGGTTCAGGTTTAATTAGTCTTCTTTTTGAGTACTTTGTTTTTTATTTTCTTTCTCTGAGCTTTGTTTTTTGATTTAAGTGATCATCATATTATATATATGTATACAATTAATATGGCGCGTAAATTTAAATAGTTTATTTTTAAATCCATTTTCTAAAGAAAGTTGGACTAAACAATTGTTATTTTTTCTCTATAGTGAAAATCTTGATGATTACTCAAAAGAAATAAGGAAACTATGCAAGAGGTTGTTGAAGTACATAGCAATAAGCTTGGGTCTAAAAGAAGAGAGATTTGAGGAGATGTTTGGGGAGGCAGTGCAGGCAGTGAGGATGAACTATTACCCTCCATGTTCAAGTCCTGATCTTGTCTTGGGACTTAGCCCACATTCTGATG